GTGCCCCTGTGATTTTCATTGTAATCCTGAACGACCAGAACCTAGATGATAGTGAGAGCATCTACAACCGGACATAACAAATATGACCCCTTAAACGTCCACCGACGATTGACCGGGCGTTGTCAGTTTTGAGCCCTATTTATTCATCCATGCAGTCACACTCATTTTTCTTCTTCCCATATGTCCAGTCCCTTGCATGTGATCGATGAAGATGAAGAGAGAGAAATAAAAGAATGAATAAAGAAAGAGAAAAGGTGGTCCGGTGTGAGGACACGTCCTACGTGGAATGCACGGGCGAGCCCGGGCGCGTCTGCGAGCCCTCATATCCTTCTCATATTTAAGATGGATATGAGGGTTCGCGGACAGCCTTGACATATAGGTATCATATAAGGGGTTCGATTGAGTCACATTTTTCCTTCTCTCTTCTGTCTGATTACTGACTGGGCACGTCCGCGGACGTATGAGTGATGGTTTAAGGCGTCCCGCTAAAAATGCTGGACGGCCCGGAGAGATATTTCATGTGTTCACACAAGTGCGTAGTACATTCGTTTCACGTGGAGGGCTATTGTGTTTTGACGAGCTCACACGGAGAGGCCCCGGGAGGGCTGGCGCCTGGAGGAATGCATGCATGTTCTTGAGCAGAACCTAGTTCGTGCCGTCGAATCATGTAGGCCGGTGCTACAATCCGCAGGCGTGGTGTAGCACCACTCTAATCATAGAGCAGCACTACGCGTCTACCTACGCACAAAAAAAATAAAATCGACGGCGTACTTGGCCCTGCTCGTTCTGGAGCGTAGAACGAAACGAAAATAAGAACCTGATGCATTAGAGCATCTCCACTCCTCCGGCCCTCAGCGCACACGCCAGCGATATTTGGGGCGCTCGCCCGGCGTTTTTTATGTCCTGAGAGCGAAAGCGATTTAGGTCCCAGCCACGTCTTCAGGAGCCGCCTCTCAAGGCGCCGTAAAAATCAAACTTAGTCATTCCCGCTCTTAAAAAAAGCCACAAATCCGGCGATCAGCGCCCTAGTTCGGCGATCCCTTTACCACAGTTCCGCGATAAAATGAAAAGCAAAAAAAAAAAAAGAAAATCAAACGGCGGTGTCGGCCTCCGGCGTCGGTGGAGTCGGCGTTTGCGGGCTGGGCGTCGTCGTTGTTGCTTCTGTGCTGGGCGGCATCGGCGCGGCTTCTGTGCTGTTGGGCATCGTGGAGACATCATCGCCCGGGCTTGGCGACGGCGTCGGCGTGGGCGTGGGAGTGGGCGGCGCCGTCGACGGTAGCTGGTTCAGGATGAGGCCGCGCTCCGCCAGGTACCACGCATTGAGCTGCTCGTCGTTGCTCTGGAGCATGTCTGCCCCGTCTATTAGGAAAGCCAGGTCAGTGTTCCTCTTCTTCACGACGACGTTGGTCTGGAGTAGGTCGAGCTTGACGGCGCTGTTCGTCATCAACGCCGACCACCACGCCTCGATCTTCTCTTCACGCAGGGCGGTCCGGGCTTGTGCGTCGGCGAGGCAATACTCGATGGACTCTTGCACCCGTGGGGTAGCCGAGTCAGCGTGTTTCCCCTTCTTGGCCCCTTTGTTGCCTTCCGGGCGTCCGTCGCCCGCGCCCGGCATCTGCGCGTCCGGCTTGTACGTCTCTTTGGCCTTGGCGAGGGTGCCGGGTATCCGCCCACTTCTCGCACTTGTCGATACACTTGAAGACGTGGAGGTACTTGAAATCTTGGTCACTGCTATCTTGGCGGAACATGGCGAACATCCGCAGCAGCTGCGTCGAGGAACAAACAGTTGGCGGCGGCGCACATGGCGAAAAAAGGGGGAGACCGGCGTGCCATACCTGATCATCCATGCTGGCGCCGCTCTCCGGACGAGCCGCGGTCTCCTCGACGATCCCATGCCATTTGTTGCATGCCGTTTGGATGAGCCCCCAATGGTTCACCACTGCCTTCGACCTGTGTTGCATATAGACGCCTTTGAAGTAGGGGTCGACGAGTTTGCGCTCGTCGAACTCGGCCTTGATGCGCTCCCAATACGTGTCGATACTCTAGTTCGTGCCAGTGATCGGGTCGAGGCAGACGACTTTTCACGCTTCGGCGAGGCACTCGTCCTCCTTGGACGCCCACTTGATGCGCATCTCGTCGGTCCTGGCCGCCCGCTTCTTCTTCTTCCATTTCCTCGCCGGAACAGGCACCGGTTCCTCCTCTTCTTCCTCCTCCTCCTCCTCCTCTGGCTCCTCCTCGCCGTAGTTGAGCTCGCCGTCCTGCCGCCGTTGAGATCCATTGTGTCGTCTTGGGCAGTGGAGAGGCGGCGACGGCGGTCGAGCCGGCCGTTATGATGTTGTCCATGTCGGCCTCCGTCGCGTCGGCGTCGCCGAGATGCGAAGAGGACGCCTGTGAGAAGGGCAGCGCGCCATGGCGGAGAGGTGGCATCGGGGAGGCTGCGTAAGCCGGCGGCAAGTAGGTGTACGATGGGTACTGCACGCCGACAAAGGCGGGCGAGGGCGTGCGCTGGGGCGGGTGACCATGGGGAAAGGTGATGTTGGGGTTGAACCTGCCATGCGCGTCGCCATCGGCGTAGCCCGAAGATGGCGCGCTGTCCCAGGGTTGTGGCGACGACGAAAAGCCGGCCGAAGACCCGGCGCTTTGCTGGCCCCAGGACGTGTACGAGCTGTGGCCGTCGGGTGGGTTCATCATCCCTGCTTGTTTGGCCGAGCGCTCCGCTTGCTCCGCCACCGCCGCAGCCGCGAGCGCCACCCTGTCCCTGGCCTTCTTGGCGTTCGCCCTATTTCGCCGGTCGATGGTGATAGCCTCCCGGTGCTGAACTTCTGCCCTCCAGTCGGCGTTGGACATGTCCGGAAGCTTGCACGGCAGCGCCCTCGGCTTCCTCTGCTTCGGTTGGGTGACGGCGGCGATGGCATCCGCCGCGGTGCAGGGGGCCACGTACTTTTTTGGCGCCATGGCAGCCGGCCGAGAGTGGAGGAGGAGGAGGAGATTTGGCGGAAGGAATGGAGAGTGAGAGGGAAGTTAAGGGGAGAAAGCGGCGGGAAAAGGGCCTCCTCTCGCCAACAGAACGGCCTCACGTCTCTTTTCGCTTCTGCCGGCGTCCCCAGGCGACCCTCGGACGCTTAAGTTCGGCTCGGATTCGCCGGCTGTTATTTTGGCCTAAACCGATGTTAAATGAGATCCTGGGGTGTGACTGGGCCAATTTTCGATCGCCGGTGGGCGCGTGAAGATGGTCTTATACTTCGATTGATTGCGGACGGTGCGAGTGTGACTGAATGAATGGAGCGAAGAAGAAGAAGAAGGAAACTGAAACGGGAAATGGGAACGCGATATGCGTTAGCTGACCGGACTGTACGGTGGCTCCATGCCTCCATCGGCACCTCAGACGAATCGTGCCTGACGGCAACGAACAAGTTGAGTACTCTAATAATCCGGCGCACGCGGCATTACCGATCGACGTGCTGTTTGTGAGATCTGCTCTTCTGAAACAGTGTTTCTGCTCGTGCGCTCTCTGCTTCCTGCCGGCGCAAAACGGCAACGGCCAAGCCAGCTCACCAACCGACCGCACGGCGGGACGATCACGTCCAACGGTCTGCCGTCTGCGCAACGGCGCTTGCGTGGTCTCTCCTTGCCGCCAAAGCTGGATCCGCACCCGCACTCGGTGCGATGGCCATGCCAGGCGGAGGGCGACAAAAGGGTAGGGTGAAAAGCGTGTCCATGCTTCATTTTTTTCCCTCTCAACGAAGCTCATTACGGCTTAGCCATCGAAAAGTGGCTGCAGAGGCCGAGCTCCACTGAGCTCTATATACATTTCTTAGCCAAAATATCTTTTCCATAACTCAAAAAAAATCTGAAAAAATGTTTTCATGTAGACATATACTTGAAGTATATGTGTACAAATTTTCATAAACATATGTATTCATATGTGATGTATAAAAAGAAGACAAATACACAGATTGAAAATAGGCTTTTTTCTTTGTTGTATTTGTGTCAAGATATTTATCTTTTTTGTGTAGCATGCAAATGATCAAATTAGTTACTGAAAATTTGTATATACTTAAAGAATATGTATCTGTATTTATAAAAAATGACATTTTTTGAAACTTTTAAATATGTTTTGATTTCTTTTGCAAAACGAGCTCCATGGAGCCCGGTCTTTGCAACGCCACACTCCTTAGCCATGAACAAATATAAATTATCTCTCCTTTTCAGATCCCACGGTACTCTCTCTTGTTGCAAAAGTCATGGCAGCCCATCACAGGGAACGAAGGCTCCCACATCCCATCAACACACTGGTCACCCACACGCAGAGAGTGGTGGTCTCAGCAGTAGCACGATTCACACCTCTGGTCTAGTAGTAGTAGTGCCCAACAGTGCACATCTTCGTTCCCCTCGCGCCTATAAGAGGGTGCTTGGATACGTTTTAATTCCATGATTAAAAGTAGTGGGACTAAAACTTGCTAGCCTCACTCATGCTTGGATCCAAATACTAAGGAGACTAAAATGAAGTTATTGAGCATTTATTATCCTTCAAACCATCCAATCCAGAACTCGCATTTGCTAAAGGAGAGGAATTAAATGAGGAGAGAGAGGACTAATCCATATTTTAGTAAGGTTTCCGTGACTAAAAAGTTTTAGCCTCAAGACTAGTTGTAGCCTCTCTTTAGTCAGGGGTGCTTGAAACTTTAGCCTCTAAAAAAGACTATTTTTAGACTAAAAATAGTCCCTCGGATCCAAGCAGGCCCTAAACCAGGCCACCACCCTGGTGCTCCACGCCCAGTGCCCACTCCCCTGCCCGTCCCTTGTTGCCATATGTACTGAGCAGCCAGCCCGGCAAGGAAGCCACTCTGACCGTCGGGGCTCGGGATTTCTCGAAGCCATAAAGAGAGGAAGAGGCCCCAAAAGGAGGAGGCTTACCAACACTCCGGTCCGTGCAAGCAGCCGCAGAGCCCGCCTCTAGTACCGCAAGGAAAGGAGGGTAAAGGAACCTGTTGCCCCCAATGGCTTCCTCGCGCGCCGCCGCCGGGCCCTTCGCGCTCTGCATTCTGCTGCTCGCGTCCCCGGCCGTCTCCGCCACGTTCCTGTTCGACGGCGGGAAGTCGGCGGCGAAGAGCAAGGGCAAGGGCAAGGAGGCGGTCGACGTGGAGTGGCGGCCGGCCACCGCGACGTGGTACGGCGAAGCCGAGGGCGACGGCAGCACCGGTAATTGCTCTCAACTCGTCTCCGCTGACCGTCGTAGAGATAAGCTAGCTCCGCATTGTTACAGCCCCTTGATTACTCCGGCGTCTGTTACTCTTGTTCTACTAGCGGGTTAAGATTAGTGCCTGGGCAGTGGTGGGTTGCAGCATCAGTACCTGGGCGAAGCAGAGCTCATCTGTCTTCCCTTTTCTTTATTTACCGGCTTCATGACTAGGATTGTTACTCCCAAAATACAGTACGCCTAGTACACACATCTGCTGTAAAAAAAATATTGCCATCTGAGCCGTCCCATTCGCACCAGAGCTCTTTTTTTACCCTGGCATCAGACGGCCTAGTTCTTTTTACCCTCTGTTGACATAGAAGTAGTAGTATTGTTTTGGTAAAAATAGAAGGACCGATTAGCTCTTCCCGTTGCGACATTTCTGGCGCGACGTCTGCGCATCCCGTGAGATCCGGCAGGGAATTTCCCGTGGGCCCCCACTGGGCCCCTCCTACACGAGTCAAGCGCAGAGGGGCTCCGCCGCTTTACGATTCGTGCCGCCGGGCCTTCGGGGCGGTGACCGGCGAAGACGACCGTGCCAGGCTTCCCAATAACTTCTTTGCTCTGCTGGGGCAGCACCATATGGCTAGAATCTTGGCGATAAATGCCCTCTGCGCCTCCGTTCACGCGCTCCACCGACGCCCCTGGTAGCTTTGATGCTGCGTCCGTAACCCAGTGATCCATCGTACTCTGGCTGTTAGCTGCATTTACGCTCTGAAGTCAGAGCACGGCAGTAACTGTATCTCACTCCCGGTAACTTTGATTCTAATGGCGATGGACGTTTTCTTCTTCTTCAGGGGGGGCGTGCGGGTACGGGACGCTGGTGGACGTGGTGCCGATGAAGGCGCGGGTGGGGTCGGTGAGCCCGGTGCTGTTCAAGGGCGGCGAGGGGTGCGGCGCCTGCTACAAGGTCCGGTGCCTCGACCACGGCATCTGCTCGCGCCGCGCCGTCACCGTCATCGTCACCGACGAGTGCCCCGGCGGCGGCCTCTGCGGCGGCGGCAACACGCACTTCGACCTCAGCGGCGCCGCCTTCAGCAGGATGGCCGTCGCCGGCGCCGGGGCGCACCTGCGCGACCGTGGGCAGCTCAAGGTGATCTACCGAAGGTGAGCGAGCAGCACGTAGTACACTTCTTAAGTCTTTTTTAGTGGTTTCTCAGACTGTTAGTTGTGCAGTAACTGGTTAGACTAATCAGCTTGGGCGCATGCCACAGTGGACAAGTAGCTCAGGGACAAAACCTCTCACTCCCTGAAGCTATTAGCAGACTAAAAAATGGTTAGATGGGTCAGTCAGTGGACCGTTGTCTGAAACACTGCAGCTAACTGCTACTGTGGATCTGTGATTTTGGCCGTCGTATCTTGAAGCGCAGTGTCCAGGGCCTTTAACTCTAACGGGCTTGCAGCTCACAGCTGTCTTAACTTGGATCTATCTGCTGCTGCCGAGTTACTCATGCCTCTGCGTGATGCCACTCGGGCAGAGGCGCAGATATACACCTGTCCCGTGGCATCTAACCTCTTGTCAAGATTCTCGGTCAATTCTTGCAGCTCCGTTCATTAACCTGTCTGACCATGGAAAAGCTGTCGTCTCTATCTATGTAATCTACTGCTGCACTGCATGTGTGTACATCCGTGAGATTTGGTGTTTCTTTTCCTTTCTTTAAGAAGACACTGACCGGGGCAGCGTGTGTGTGCGTGCATCAGGACGGCGTGCAAGTACGGCGGGAAGAACATCGCGTTCCATGTGAACGAGGGGTCGACGAGCTTCTGGCTCTCGCTGCTCGTCGAGTTCGAGGACGGCGAGGGCGACATCGGCTCCATGCAGCTCAAGCAGGTACCCATCCTCTTCTTGTCAAGCTTATTTACTTTGGTGCACTGCCTTATTTCTTGATATTGACAACAAAGTGAATGGGGTAAATCGAGCTATCTTTTGAGCCTTTCGTTGCCTTTGGTGGTGGGAACAAGTTCAAGTTGGGTGGGTTGCGTTGGATAAGTGCTTTATGTGAGTGCAAATGTGCGAGAGGACCCGGCGCATATTCTTTCCTTTGCGAAAATGCGCGCATGTGAGTTCGTCCTCCCACTTTGATGTGGTCGGAGACATATTGCACTGTTGCCTGCTTTTGCCCTCGTGCCTCTGCTGGCTAGCGTTTGTACTGTCGTTGGCTAGGCATTTAGGCCCATGTCGTGTCCTTTTGTACAACGACCTGAGGTTCTAGAATGAAACTTTTCACACGGACTTAGTATTTTACAGCAAGTGAAACCAAGGGTAGGAGATAGCTAAGCTTGACAAAGACTGTTTTATAGCCTGAAACTAAGCTTTGTAAAACATGACAAATGAACTGCCAACAGACGACACTGGAAATCAGCCAAGAAAGCATGCCGCTACTTTCCTGCATTGTCTGCCGCACAATGTCACACTGTATAGTCAAAACTTGAGTGAAGATACCCTACATGATTGTCTTTGGCCATATGATTCCCATTTGGAGCATACAAAGTATCCGATGCTCTTTTTTTGTTGGACAAATGTAAAGTATCCAATGTAGGTGGCAGCACCGAAAGATGAAGCGTGAACCCTGTCCCCGAAACTCCATTCCCCTGCGCTTGCCCAATGATGCTGCCGCTTTACCTCGGTCTCGCTCAGTGTCAAGTAGGGCTAAAGACCAAAGAGGCCGGGCATGCGGCTCTGCCACTGTCTCTTGCACCTGCTAAATGCTTTCATCTCGTGGTTGTTTTACCCTGACACCCCATCCTGCGCACCGCGGCACGCCCTTGACCGTGCGTCTGCTCGCGCGGCGGCCTCGTGGACTCTCGGCACCCAAAGATTCTGGAGCCCAGGCCCAGTGTTTGCGACGATGTTGCGCTGTAAAGCTAGCTTCACGCTCTGCTGGTGCTTGTTGTGCTCTGTGTGTTTATCAGACTTAGTATTAGTGTTCATCAGTGCTTATGATGTGTGTGTGCTTTGTTCACGTGGTGCGTGGCTGCAGGCGAACTCGGCGAAGTGGCTGGACATGAAGCACGTGTGGGGCGCCACGTGGTGCCTCTACGGGGGCCCCACGGCGGGCCCATTCTCCGTGAGGCTGACGACGCTGTCCGCACCCAAGACGCTCACGGCCCGGGACGTCATCCCCAGGAACTGGGCGCCCAAGGGCACCTACTCCTCCCGCCTCAACTTCGACGCCTCGCTCTGATCGACCTTCATCACAGCCGGGCCACGTTTTATCGGCCCGGGATGGAGCGAAGGCAGGCCCACATGGCGTTCTGCTGGAACTGGACGTACGTAGATTGTGTTTTGTTGCAGGTTAATCGGTCTGATGATCACCTAGTCGTAAGCTAGTGGTGTGGTGTGAGTAGTTTTGGATCAGGAGGTGAGTGATCTGGGTGCGGAGCAGCCGTCCTCTCCAAAAGGGAGAGAGAGCGTATGCTGCTGGGAATCCGATGCGGAAGCCGATCGAGAGGGTTTTGGACCCCTCTTGGTCGCCGCTTCACTCCTGCTGTCGTGTGCTGTTTTTATCTTTTCTTTTTCCTGCTCTGTTTGCGTGTTTGTTTGCCCTAGTTGGTTGAAACTGAAGGGCTCGTGACAAATGTGTTTCGTTTCTTCGAATGGTGGGCTTGTACCGAGGTCAGGATTCCTGCTTGTTCGCGTTTCTCTCCATTTATTTTTTCCAAGTATACACCAAGAAAAGGTGCAGCAGTAGGCGTCAAGCAGCTGATACCACGCCTTTCGGCGAACAACACACAGTACCAATACCATGACTACAGCGAAAAAACAAACCTCAAGCCACAAATGGCGAGAAGGCAACACTCGGATATCAAGGACTGCGTGACAACAAACAGTGGACACAAACACAGCACTACCCCGACTTCAGCTTAAGATGGGTCAACGCACCCTCCGCCCATAGCGCAACATCGGTTGATTTGTATCTCGTGTGCTAAATTCCGAGAAGGCCAAACTTGGGGTTGATCTTGCTAGACTCAAGGAAGAGTTTGATATACTCCCTCCATTTCTTAATATAAGGTGTATTATTTTTTTAAAAAGTCAAAGTTCTCTAAGTTTGACCAAGTTTATAGACAAAAATATCAATATCTAGAATACCAAATCATTATCACTAGATCCATCATGAACTATATTTTTACATTTTATATATTTAGTATTATAAGTCTTTATATATTTTGCTGTAAACTTGGTCAAACATAGACAACAGTTAACTTTTTAAAAAACTAATACACCTTATATTTAGGAACGGAGGGAGTACTTGACAAGGCTCACAAGGCCTTGAAGGGCACTCATGCTAGCTTTAAAGAGTCTCATGATCAACTCCAAGTGAAGCTAACGAAGGAGAAAGCCACTTTTCCTCATATGGTTTTAATTGATAATGCAAATGTTACTAAGCATGTGCATCTTGTTGAGGAGAATGCAAAGTTGAAGTAGCAATTTGAGAAAGGCCTTGCGTCGTGCATACAAGGTGAGAAGAACCTCAACGATCTTTTGAGGAATCAAAAGGAAGTTGTGGCCAAAGAGGGAATTGGGTTCGCACCCAAGTCCAAGAACAAGAAGAAGAATGACAAGGCCAAACGACCTCCTCCTCTCAAGCAAAATTTTGTGAAAGAGGGAGAGGATGCTTCTAAGGAGAAGAAGAACAATATGAAGGGTGGTGGTGTCAAGAAGGGCAATGCCACCCCTTCCAACAAAGCCGGCGATTTAACCCTTCCTATGTGCTATGTCGTGCTAGTGATGGGCATGTTTATGCTAAATTTGTTGGTTCACCTTATGAGTACATTGAATGGTCTATTTGGGTTCCTAAGACCCTTGTCACGAACATCAAAGGACCCATTACAAAATTGGTACCTAAAACCAAGCATTGAACTCTTGTAGGTGTTTGCTTCCGGTGGGGGATCATGGTTGCTGGATAGTGGAGCCACTAATCATATGACCGGAAGTAAGGACTTGGTGGTGGACGTGCACAAGATTCTATCTATGCCCACCAATGTCGAGTGGGGTGATGCCTCATCTTCTAAGGTATTGGGACTCAACAAGGTTGTCATTTCTCATGATCTCACGATCGAGAAAGTCATGCTTGTTGAGTCCCTTGCATACAATTTACTTTCCGTTCGTCAACCTGCACTCATGGGTTTTGCCACTTTCTTTGATATTGATACCGTGGCCCTCTTATGGAGCAAGACTCTTAAAGTAGCCTTCGTTGGGCATGTCGAGAATGGTCTCTATGTGATTAACTTTTCGGAGCGACCCACTAAGACCGCGACATGCCTAATGGCTAAAGTTGATGTGGGATGGCTTTGGCATTGCTGTTTAGCCCATGTCAATATGAGATCTTTGCAAAGTCTTCTCAAGGGGGACCATGTCCGTGGACTAACAAATGTTAGTTTTGCCAAAGATCGTGCTTGCAATGCTTGTATTGAAGGAAAGTTACATGAGAAGGCTCACCCTCCCACGACTATCATTTACTCAAAGAGGCCTTTGGAGCTCCTTCACTTGGATCTCTTTGGGCCTCCATCCTTTGATAGTCTTGGGGGTAGAAAGTATTGCTTGGTGATAGTGGATGATTATTCAAGATACACTTGGGTGTACTTCTTCAAGAGGAACAGTGAGACTCAACAAACCGTCATTGACTTTGCAAATGAAGCTCAACGCCAACACAATGCAAAGATCTTGACGATAAGAAGTGACAACGGCATCGAGTTCAAGAACTACACCTTGGATGAGTTTCTTAGTGTTGAGGGGATCAAGCATCAATGTTCCGCACCTTACACCCCTCAACAAAATGGTGTAGCGGAGAAGAAGAACCGGACGTTGATGGATGTGGCAAGGACCATGATGGCGGAGTTCAAGTCTCCATACAACTTTTGGGCCGAAGCCATCAACACCGCGTGTCATGCATCCAACCGGGTCTATCTCTGCAAAGGCTTGAACAAAACTCCATATGAGATACTCACCGGTAACAACCCCAACCTCAAGTACTTTCGGGTGTTTGGATGCATGTGTTTCATTCTCAAGAAAGGTGTTTGTTTGTCTAAAATTGAGGCTACAACTCATGAAGGCATATTTGTTGGTTATGCTACAAATTCTCATGCTTACCGTTCCTCAATAAGTCCACGGGACTTATTGAGGAGACGCGTAACGTGGAGTTTGATGAGAATAATGGCTCCCATGTGGAGCAAAGTGGTACTTGTGATGTAGGTGATGAAATTCCTCCCCGAGCCATAAGAAGAACCGGTGTTGGTTTTATCCTACCCGTTAAGGAACCCCTTGTGGCTGATACGTCTCCAACGTATCTATAATTTTTGATTGTTCCATGCTATTATATTATATTATCTGATTTGGATATTTAATGGGCTTTAATATGCTCTTTTACATTATTTTTGGGACTAACCTATTAACCGAAGGCCCAGTGCCAGTTTCTGTTTTTTGCCTATTTTAGTGTTTTGCAGAAAAGGAATACCAAACGGAATGAAACCTTCACGATGATCTTTCTTGAAACAAAAGCAATCCAGAAGACTTGGAGTTGAAGTCTGGAACTTCGCGAGGCGGCCACGAGGCAAGAGGGCGCGCCCAGGGGGGTAGGCATGCTCCCCACCCTCGTGGGCCCCACGGAGCTCCATCGACGTACTTCTTCCGCCTATAAATACTCTTATACCCTAAAAACATCAGGGGGAGCCACGAAACCACTTTTCCACCGCCGCAACCTTCTATACCTGTGAGATCCCATCTTGGGGCCTTTTCCGGCGATCTGCCGGAGGGGGAATTGATCACGGATGGCTTCTACATCAACACCATAGCCTCTCCGATGATGTGTGAGTAGTTTACCACAGACCTCCGGGTCCATAGTTATTAGCTAGATGGCTTCTTCTCTCTCTTTGGTTCTCAATACAAAGTTCTCCTCGATGTTCTTGGAGATCTATTAGATGTAATACTCTTTTGCGGTGTGTTTGCTGAGATCCGATGAATTGTGGATTTATGATCAAGATTACCTATGAATAATATTTGGTTCTTCTCTGAATTCTTAGATGCATGATTTGATAACTTTGCAAGTCTCTTCGAATTATCGGTTTAGTTTGGCCTACTAGATTGATCTTTCTTGCAATGGTAGAAGTGCTTAGCTTTGGGTTCAATCTTGCGGTGTCCTTTCCCAGTGACAGTAGGGGCAGCAAGGCACGTATTGTATTGTTGCCATCGAGGATAAAAAAGATGGGGTTTATATCACATTGCTTGAGTTTATCCCTCTACATCATGTCATCTTGCTTAATGTGTTACTCTGTTCTTTGTGAACTTAATACTCTAGATGCATGCTGGATAGCGATCGATGTGTGGAGTAATAGTAGTAGATGCAGAATCGTTTCGGTTTACTTGACACGGACGTGATGCCTATATTCATGATCATTGCCTAGATATTCTCATAATTATGCACTTTTCTATCAATTGCTCAGCAGTAATTTGTTCACCCACCGTAATACATGCTATCTTGAGAGAAGCCACTAGTGAAACCTATGGCCCCTGGGTCTATTTTACATCATATAAGTTTTCAATCTAAAATTCTATTTTCTTATTTATTTTATTTTGCAATCTTTACTTTCCAATCAATACAACAAAAATACCAAAAATATTTATCTTACTATCTTTATTAGATCTCACTTTTGCGAGTGACCGTGAAGGGATTGACAACCCCTTTATCACGTTGGTTGCAAGGTTCTTGATTGTTTGTGCAGGTACAAGGTGACTTGCGTGTTATCTCCTACAGATTGATACCTTGGTTCTCAAAAACTAAGGGAAATACTTACGCTACTTTGCTGCATCACTCTTTCCTCTTCAAGGGAAAACCAACGCATGCTCAAGAGGTAGCAAGAAGGATTTTTGGCGCCATTACCGGGGAGATCTACGCTAAAGTCAAGACATACCAAGTACCCATCATAAACTCTTCTCTCCCGCATTACATTATTTGCCATTCGCCTCTTGTTTTCCTCTCCCCCACTTCTAAAACTATTATCAAAAACCTTTGCCTTTTCTTTGCCCTCCTTCCGTTTGTCTTCTTCTTTTGCCTTTCTATCTCTATGGCCGAACCAAAAGGAGCTAAGGGTTTTCTCCTTGGTTTTACCTTGGACAGTCCCTCTGTCCTTTCTAAGCTCATAAATAATGATGTTATGGATAGACCCACCGGGGTTATAAATGAGAGCTTGGATAATTTTGATGAAGATGACCCTAGAATTTTTCGTTATTTGCTTGATGAAACCTTGAAAGATGCTTGGGATAGGCTATTAAGGATCCGAGCTAGCTACGTGCCCCAGTATCAAATTGAGATATACTTAAAAAGTTTTTATGTT